AATAAGCACTGCCTTTATAACTGTTCAAAGTATGTGTATACATTTCTGGGGGGACACCCTATGTATATACTGTTTGATCCACTCAAGTACTAGGTTATTTATCCTACAGGTATACTTCCCATACAAGAAATACTATGTATAAAGCTATTCATTACAGTGTTTCTTGTGATCAGGAATAAAAGCTGTAAATAACCTTAAAAAGCATCAATAGAGAACAAGTTAAATTTTGGTTCATCCACACAATGGAATCCCATGAAACAGATAAAAAGAATAAAGTAGCACTCATATACTAAAAATGGAAAAATCCCTAGGATTAACTGAATAAATGGAAAGTATGCAGCCATGTAAACAGTATGTTACCATTTATGTAAAGAAAAGAACAGAGCCCTGGCTGGTGTGGCTCAGTTGGTTGGGTGTCATTTGTGTACCAAGAGGGTGATGGTTCGATTCCCAGTCAGGGCACATACCCGGATTTCAGGCTCAATACCGGTCAGCAAGAGTGCAGGAAGCAGCCGATTGATGTTCCGCTCTCACATGAATGTCTCTCTCTCTCTCCTCTCTCTCTCTCTTCCCCCTCCCCCTCTCTCAGAACAGACACACATCTATGTGTGTGATGCATAGCATAGCTATGGCAATATATGCAAGAATCAGTGCCTCTGAGACAGAGAACTGGGGGAAAAGGGATTGAGGAGGTAAAGAGGCCATAATTCTGTTAATTGATTATCACAAGACTTACTATATAATTACATGTAATTATATAGTAAAAACTAGAGGCCCGATGCATGAAATCTGTGCAAAAGTAGGCCTTCCTTCCCCCAGCTGCCAGCATTGGCTTCCCTCACAGCTCCGGCTTCATCTGGAAGGTCATCCAGAAGGACATCTGGTCCAATTAGCATATTATGCTTCATTATTATAGATAGCAATGAGTACACATAGTGCTTTGCCAGGCATGTTCTAAGCACATTACATACTTACACTAATTCAACATGCTCCTTTTAAATTGTACAAAATTCAGGTACCTGTCTTATTTCACTAAATTATCAATTACTTGAGAGCATCAACATGACCTAAGCATTTTTACATCCTACACATATGACAGTACAATATTTTCACAATATTGCTCTCAATGAACAGCAAAAGAAACCATCAACAAAATGAAAAGAGAGCCCACTGTATGGGAGAACATATTTGGATACATCTGATAAATGTTTAATATACAAAATATATAAGGAACTCATACAACTTAACAAAAAGAAGACAAACAATCCAATTAAAAAATGGGCAAAGGACCGAAATAGACACTTCTCCAAAGTGAACATACAGATGGCCAAGAGACATATGAAAAAAATGCTCAAAATCACTGATCATCAAGAGATGCAAATTAGCCCAAACCGGTTTGGCTCAGTGGATAGAGCGTCGGCCTGCGGACTGAAGGGTCCCAGGTTCGATTCCGGTCAAGGGCATGTACCTTGGTTGCGGGCACATCCCCAGTGGGGGGTGTGCAGGAGGCAGCTGATCGATGTTTCTCGCTCATCGATGTTTCTAACTCTCTATCCCTCTCCCTTCCTCTCTGTAAAAAATCAATAAAATATATTTAAAAAAAAAAAAGAGATGCAAATTAAAATGACAATGAGGTATCACCTCACACCTGTCAGAATGGCTACAATCAACAAATTAACAAATCACAAGTGCTGGTGAGAATGAGGAGAAAAGGGAACCCTAGTACACTGCTGGTGGGAATGCAGACTGGTGCAGCCATGATGGAAATATGGAGTTTCCTCAAAAAAATAAACATTGGGCCCTAGCCGGTTTGGCTTGGTGGATAGAGCGTCAGCCTGCGGACTGAAGGGTCCCGGGTTCAATTCCGGTCAGGGGCATGTGCCTTGGTTGCGGGCACATCCCCAGTGGTGGGTGTGCAGGAGGCAGCTGATGGATGTTTCTCTCTCATCGATGTTTCTGACTCTCTATCTCTCTTCCTTCCCCTCTGTAAAAAATCAATAAAATATATTTTTTTAAAAATAAAAAATAAATAAACATTGGAACTGCCATTTGACCCAGTGATCCCACTTCTAGGAATATATCCTAAGAAACCCGAAACACCAATCAGAAAGAATGTATGCATCCCCATGTTCATAGAAACACAATTTACAATAGCTAAGGTCTGGAAACAGCCCAAGTGCCCATCAGTAGATGAATGGATAAAAAAGCTGTGGTACATTTACACCATGAAATACTATGCAGCAGTAAAAAAGGAGGATCTCGCCCTAACCAGTTTGGCTCAGTGGATAGAGCGTCAGCCTGAGGACTGAAAGATCCCAGGTTCAATTCTGGTCAAGGGCATGTACCTTGGTTGCGGGCACATCCCCAGTAGGGGGTGTGCAGGAGGCAGCTGATCGATGTTTCTCTCTCATTGATGTTTCTAAGTCTCTATCCCTCTCCCTTCCTCTCTGTAAAAAAATCAATAAAATATATACTTAAAAAAAAAGGAGGATCTCTTATCCTTTGAGACAGCACAGAGGGACCTAGAGAGTATTATGATAAATGAAATAAGCCAGTCAGAGAAAGACAAGTATCACATGATCTCACTCATATGTGGAATCTAATGAAAAAATAAACTGTTGAACAAAATAGTTCCAGAGACATAGAAGCATGGAACAGACTGTTGAATCTCAGAGGGAAGGCAGGGGTGGGTGGGAAGAGATCAGCCAAAGAACTGATATAAGAACATATATGCAGCATATATGCATAACCCAGGAACACAGACAATAGGGTGGTGAAGGCCTGGGGTGAGGGACAGAGGCAAGCTATAAGGGGTCAATGGGAGAAAAAAAGAGACATATGTAACAATACTTCTAACAATAAAGATTTTAAAATAATAATAATAATAATGCTCTCAAGAAATATGTACCACATTCATTTATTCATGCAATATCAAATATAAGAGAAACTAATTATCTTTAGCATTTAGAGCTGACTTAAAAGCCTAATGACCTTAATCTATAATTATCTTTTTATAATTGTTTTGTTCCGCCATGAAGTCGAGCCAAAACTCAAAAATAAATGGCTTTGAAAATGTGCTATTATACATACGTACAATTGTGACTGTGCTGAATACACTGGGGAGTCAAACAAGTTATTGAAGAAAAGTTGTCCAGTTTTCCCATTATTTTTCATTCCAAGAGAAAAACTGTATAATCAACACACAGTCCTTTTTAAACTTTGAGTTCAGGAGAGTATTTAAGTGTTTAAGAATAAAAGATCTCCTACTAAGTTACATAAAGTGCTTAGCACAAATATATGAAGTGCTTAGCACAAGCCTGGCCCATCATAAATCCCCATTCCAGCAGAGCTCTCTCATTTCTTATTTGGAGGCTGCCAGCCTCATGGGAGAGAAAAGTACATAAGAGCTGGCCTTCACTCCTGTCAATAACTGGGAAATCCATCTGTAAAAAAGCAGAGTGGGCCATGGAAGTTTGTTTTTCCCTTTAACAAGTCATTAAAAGTCATCAGAGCTATGAATCAGACAATGGGGGGTTGGGAGAAAAAATTAAAACTCCAATTCTTAGATTTAAAAATTCACTTATTCAATCTAGTATTTTTTTCAAGTGCCTACCTGGACCGGGCAGGCATTATGGCAGGCAATTGTAGTCCAAAACCTCATTTTATTAATTTAACATGCTTTATATTTTTTCTATTTTTAAAGTAAAATTTGCAGATATGGTAACAATGCCAAATCACATTTTAATGAAGTGATAAAATACTGATAGAAATCATTCTCTCTACAGATTTGACAAAACAATAAAATTTCAAATAAAATTAAGGAAACCAATACAGGATTGTATTTGTTTAAAAAAAATTTTTTTTTCGCCCCACCAGTGTAACTCAGTGGTTGAGCATTGACCTATGAACCAGGATGTCAAGGTTCAATTCCCAGTAGGAGACATTTCAATCCCCCTTTCCCTTCTTCTCTGAAATCAATAAAACAATAATATTTGGGGGGAAAACGTTTTCACTTAATTGGGTTCCCCCAAATTTCATATCTTGAAGTAATTTTTTATGTAATGATTTTAGAGAGGGAGGAAGGGAGAGAAAGACAAACATCGATTTGCTGTTCCACCCACTTATGTATTCACTAGTTAATTCCCTCATGTGCCCCAACTGGGATCAAAACCTCAACCTTGGTGTATGGGGATGACACTCTGTATGGGGATGACGCTCCAACCAGCTGAGCTACCCAGCCAGGGCCAAAATACATATATTGACGTCCCAACTCCCAGTACTTCAGAATGTAACCTTTTTGAAGATAAGGTCTTTAAAGAGATGATTAATTTAAAAGAAGGTTGTTAGGTTGGGGCCCTTATCCAATATGACCAATGTCCTTACAAGAAGTAGAAACACCAGGGATATACATGCACAGAGAAAGGCCATGTGAGGACACAGTGAGAAAGCAGCCACCTGCAAACCAAGGAGAGAGGCCTCAGGAGAAATCAAACCTGCAGACACCTTGATCTTGGACTTCAAGCCTTCAAACTGTAAGAAAATAAATTTCTGATCACTTGCTATATAACAAAAGAAATCTGGTAGGGATGTGTTTCCTCAAATTAATAACCTTTTAAATTTACAAGTATTGAAATTAAAGTAGAAATACCTATTCAGATTATTTTTAAAAAAAAAACAGTTGAATTCTACATTATGAACTTTGGGAAAATTATTTATTTCATTCTATGGGGTTTAGACAAGTAATTTCACATTTCAATTTAAGTCCAGAGTCAGAAAACATTTCTTTTACATTCCGTACTAATAGAGATCATCATATATCAATGAAATATTTAAATACAGAGATTGATTTAAAAATGGATTTCTCTAAATAACATTTATCAGAAAACACACATAATACAATCCACTCTGGATCTAAGAGGCTTAATTTGTTCTAATATTAAAAGAAACTTGTCTTCTGAAATTTCTCTAATTTAAAAGACATATTGTGAGAATGGGTTCAAGGGTGGAGGAATCAATCGGTACTCAGCGATTCACAAACATGACATATAAACATGACATTTTAAAGATTTGGACAAAGACTGCATATTGGCAGCACAGGGGGTGGTCTTGCTCACTTGCTCTCCCTCCTACTGAGCAGGGACATTTCATATTTCATAGTTTCTGAATTTCCTCAGGAGTTCTGAAGGAGCATCCCCAGACCAGCGGAAATGAAGGTGCCAACTGTTCACATCTGAAAAACCTTTGAAGGAGAGAAGAGAAGATTTTTAAATCAGAGGTGGGAACAAAGGAGTCAAGCTTGTAATAGTAGGACAGCTTGCTGGTGAGATTTCACTGCAATAAGTGAAATGTAAGGGTAAGTCTTTGGGATGAATTATTGATATCTTACAGAAACTGATTAACTTGGGCAGGATGTTGAATTCTTGTGAACAGGATTTATTTTATATGGATGAGAGGATCTCACATGCTTAAACTTAATAATAAAAGGACATTTATAATGCCTCCAGTGGTGGTAATTTTGACAATTCACCTGCAAGGAAATTGGAAACAACTTTCAAACAGCTGCCAAAAATAAAAGGTCAATGGTAAAGGATTCTGGAAATACAAATAATGTATTCCATGAGAGTAAGATTTATTTTTTTAGAGTAATAAACAACTTTGTTGAAAATTAGATAAAAGGTCATTTTCCCTCTACTAGAGAAAATGTAAACTGACAAAACTATTCTGGGTAGGAAACTTGCAATATTTATCAAACTCATTAAAATGCATAAACATTTAACCTTACAATTGTACTTCTGAAAATTTATCTTAAGGAAATAATCACGGATGTGCTCAAGGGTTTTAACTATAAGATGTTTAACATGATACCTTTTATAAATGTTTTTAAAAATTAAAAAACAGCCCTGGCCTGTGTGACTCTGTTGGTTGAGTATCATCTCTATGCATCGCTAGGTCACCAGTTTGATTCCAGTCAGGGCACATGCGTGAGTTGCAGGCTCAATCTCCAGGAGGGGGCATGCAGGAGACAGCCAATCAATGTTTCTCTCTCTCCCTCTCCCTTCCTCTCTAAAAATATCAATAAAACATATTTTTAAAAAAAAAAAACATTCCAAGTATTCAGCAACAGAAAGTTGGTTAAAAGGCTGTGATATAGTCATTAACAATTTTTAATACTTACAGTCACATTAAAATGCTCATAACATATTGCTGTGACAAGTAGTTAGAAAACAGTGTGATCCCATTTTTTTAAAATATGTTTTTATTAATTTCAGAGAGAAGAAGGGAGAGGAAGAGAGATAGAAACATCAATGATGAGAGAGACTTATCAACTGACTGCCTCCTGCACACCCGCTACTGGGGATCAAGCCAGCAACCTGGGCATGTGCCCTGACTGGAAATCAAACCGTAATCTCTTGGTTCATAAATTGACACTCAACCACTGAACCACAACAGCCAGACTCATTTTCAAATTTCTTATTTACATGGGTATTTCTCTAAAAAATGTTTAAGGTCTATAAGGAATTACCCCTAAATGTTAACAGTAGTTATCCCTGGATAGCTGGAATAGATGTAATTTTCATTTTTTAATACCCTTTTCTGTTTATCTGTATCTTCTTATTTTTTCTGCAGTGAACATGTATGCCTTTTGTCATTTTTGTTGTTTATAATATTGCTAATGAAAATGCAGGTTACAGAAAAATAAAATATGCTTCCATTGATATTTAAATGATTATCTAAAAGTCTAGGCAGAAAAAATATACACAGAATTGAGGACAGTGATTATCTCAGAAAAACAGGATCTGCTTGCACTTTCTTTAGAATTATCATAGAAAACAAATTTAAAGAATTTCCATTTGGAGAAAAAGCAAACAGGAAATTCTTTCTGACAACCTGTAATTGAAAGGCACACACAAAATATGGACAGTGTGGCCCTTTTAGTTTTAAGTACACTAACATATAAAAATATACCAAAAGATCAGCGATATGTTCTTGAGGTGGTAAGATTACAAGTTGTTTTTTCTTCCTTTTGCTTGACCACATCTTCTCACATCGCACCTGCTGCCAGGCAGGCCTCTGCCGGAGGAAGCCCAATGCGAGGCACACAGGCAGCCCGGCCTGGGGCGGGCAGAAGCCCCGAGGACATGACTGCACAGCAACAGCATCTGCTACCTTTGACTTTTTGTTTGTTTTTATTCCAGGATGTCACAGAAAACTATTTGATTCTAAAACAGTATTTATCAGAAGCCACATTCATTGCATATTTAAATGGAAAGAGAAAAAGTGAGATTGTCTCACACGCTGGTTTGCAGATGCCATGGTTCATATTTTACAGGTTGCAATGAAGTCAAGCAGATGACGGGGACTATTTGATGGCTCATCACAGAAGAGGCATCAAAAGGCAAACTCCAAAGTAAATATCAAGCATTGCTTGAGGAAATTAACAAGTATGCTTAAAAGTTATGTGAGCAGCCTCTCGGGCTTAGTAAAGCTGACATGAGTAATATTTCTTAAATGCTGACATAAAAATTTGCACTACAGTCAAATGAAATTATAAATAATCATGCAACTGCTCTTTGGTATATCAAACTCCAACTTTAAGGCACTACTCAGAACAGCTAATAATATCTTAAACAACACTAAGAAATACTGGTAGGCCCTGGCCAGTGTTGCTCAGTGGTTAGAGTGTCGGCCCTCCAACCCAAGGGTCTCAGGTTCAATCCCTGGCCCCTGTTTCTCTCTCTTTCTCTCCCCCTTCCTCCCTCCCTTCCACTCTCTCTAAAAATCAATGGGAAAAATATCCTTGGGTGAGGATTAACAAAACAAAAAACAAAGAAAATACTGGTAAATGCAGCCTTTGGCAAAATTTCATGATTCTTATTCTCCAACAAACAGCTCTCAGAACGAGGATCCTTCCTCCTCTCACCCCCTCCACTTCATTCACAATTTATCCTGAGTAAATATTGATATATCTGCGCTGTGGAATATTTATCAGCTGTTAGAAACAATGAGTTAACCCTTTGCGGTCGTATTAAATTTGGACATGGGTGTCGTACTGGTCGGAATTAATTTCCATTGAAAGAGCAGTGATACATAACATGCAAGATTATGAAGGATAAACAAGATTTATTAATTCTTTTTTGGAACTACGTCACTACTAGTAGAATCACTACAAAC